GCGAGTCACTTGGTTTGGACCATGGTTGTGGTCCAACCTTGGTGCCTACGTCGATCCCCATTTCCTGTGCCTGTGTCTTAAAACAGTTGCTCCTATATCTTGCATCATTGGCGTTATGGAGGCTTTCTTCTTTTTCTGGGTCAAAATTCCTCGAGGCGATAGGTCCAGGTACAACGACAACGGCCTGTGACCACCGATTTTTTTGCTCGTCTCTCTTCGCCCGGTCTCTTGTTCTTTGTTTTGATACGGGACACATATTCCATCCGTCCCTTTTGCATGTCCCTCCGTACTCTCCTTTTCCTTTCTCGGGTGTTCCCTTTCTCTCACGCACGTGCAACTCCGGATTCCCATCTCTTGTTATCATTTGCCCTCCCCCAGAAGTGCATGGCGGTCTCGTTCCCTTGACAAAACGTTCCTTCAGTTCTCCTCTTGTCTTTGATAGTCTCAGGTCTCCCGTCATTTGGTATATTATGCGAGCTGTTTGATCATCACGGCGCTTCCCTTAGCATAGTTCCATTCCATCAATCAATTTTCAGACGGGAAGAAACAAACAATTTGGGTTTTCTCTTTTTTACTCTCATGGAGCACATGCCGCAGCTGACAGTATCTCGGTGAGAAGGGATCAGCCACAATGGTGCAGTACGGCGCCAGTTCAGCAAGGTCACAGGGCAAGGCTGGTGTTCATCATCGGAAAAAAAATAAAGAGTCCTAGAAGACTCTTAGTTTCTAGACTCTATATTCAAGAAAAAGCCTGGTTCTGACGAGGGGAAACTCGAAAAACAGATGTCCCGGCATGAGTAGACCCCAAAATGGGACACGAACAGAGACAAAGTTGTAAATGCGTATTGTACACGGCGCCAAAATGATATATATCAAAAACACGGTTCCCAAGAAAGCACATCATCCACATGTCTGCAAGCTATGCAGAAGCACGAGCTCAAGCCCGTGGCCTCAAGCAAGTAGTCAGCCATCCGGAATGGAATAAAGCCTGATCCACTGGGAACAGAACCGAGAGGATCCAAAAAAAAAGACATTCCAAAGAAAGCGATTACCGCTCCTTCTTCTCCGGACGCTTCCAGTCGTGATTCCACCCCTCCGCCGACGGATACTCCGTCTGCATACGACCGTACTCGATCGGGAAAAGATCCGTGAAAATGCCCTTTTTAATCATCGACTTGCGGAACAAACGTCCGCCGTCCCCGGCCCCGGTGCGCAGCTCTTCGCATGCCGCTTGCATGCTCTGGTACTGGCGCTCTAGCTCGAGTTCGTGCGCCCGACGCTGCTTTGCTTGCAGGAGTTGCCAGGCCCGGTGGATGGTCCAGTGACGGAGGAAGCGGTTGCGAGAGAAGCGGAGGGGACGCGGGGTGAGAGGATGGTAGAGGAAGTATCGGATCAGAGCTGCAAGTGGTTGATGTTAGCTTTTCTGGTTTAGATCCAGCAGGGAGTGGGTAGTCCGGTGGAATTATGTGTGTCGAAGATGGTAATGAGCGCGACTCGAGGAGAGCTGCGCGGGAGGCCGAATCTATGAAGAGCGGGGTGGGTCCCCCCAGTCGCGAAGAAGGACAGGGAAATTCCAGATCGAATTGGAAAAGAAACATACTGATTCGTTTGTCCACGTTGGGACCGGCTTTTTTCCGGGCCTCGAGCGTGCGAGTCGACGAGAATGGCGCGGATTGCACGGCGGACAGGACCGGTCCAGGCTGTGGTGTCCGTCTAGCGAGGACTTCCTGACACATGCGGGACGCACTCGGGCGCACGGGGGCCAGCGTCATCTGAATGCGAAAGACATTGGCGAGGGACGCAAGCGTGGGTGATAGGGACCGCATTGTGAGGTGTTTTGTGGTGGGTGTTTGGTCGTTTTGGAGAGATGCGCTCAATACATGGGGGAATATTTCCATGGCGGCAGAATACTGTCCGCCCTTCTGGTTAGCCGCGCGCTTGTCTCGAATCGAACAACCCTTTTCGAGCCGCATGGCCCTGGTTTATCTATCTTGAACTATCGGCCCCGGCCGAGAGGCCAATTTATGAATGATCCAACAAACTTTCGTGCTGGAGCATTCCTGGTTTCGGATCAGCTTGACTGGAATAGACTGAACAGCAAATGAATTTATTATTTTTTTTTAAATGAAAAAAGTCGTATATCGTGGGAGATATGACACGCCGGTGGGTAAAAAAAAACAGTCACATGCATTGAAATGTAAATTGGTCTCGCCCTTGACCCGGTCAACGCTCTCGTGAAACGCCGTGATATGCAGCCATAGGAGGGGAATTCATTATGAGGAAAAGAACATGGAAACACAGCCAATGCGGACGTCAAATATGGCACAGATCCAATCACCTCTTTCGGCCGTGGTGCAGTTTCTTACTTCGGTCGTAGTCTTGCACCCTACGTCGTCGATGTGTCTGCGCAAGTTTCCAGCGACAGTACAGGACCAGCGCATCCTTGAGGAGAACAAACATACAGCCACCGACGACGCTGCGGCCCCACCGAGTCTGCAGTAGACTTGGACGGCCCTTTTCAAGGACCGATGAAGGCGTCGTCCACGCCTTGGGCAGAGCATATTTCAACAACCCACCCATGGACGCCGAGATCGCGGGGAACACCAGCGCTCCAAGGACAGTATCGGCAAGACTGCCGGTGTCGGCAATGATCTCATTCCGCCGACGCCCAACGCCCCCTCCGTTGTGTTGACCAGCATTCTGCCCTTGCGCCTGGCCATCCTGGGCATCGAGGTCAGCGCCATCTTGGTTTTGTTGAGCTGGTATCGGTTGGTCGACCAGCGGCTCGTCGTCGCCACCCATTCCTACCTGCAATTCAAGATCAATTTCCATCAAGATTTGACCGTTCATATTATCACCGAAACGATTGAGCCCTTCTGCCTGGTCTTGCTGCTGAACTTCATCCATGGTCTCTTCCGTCGCTCGGGGTTGGACTTCAGCGATCCATTTCTTTTCAAGGCCGCCGAATATTCGGTCATAAACCGCCCCGTAGAAGCTCTTCACATATGGGAGGGCAGCAAACGTCATTGCTGGGGTGGGGGGCCATAGATCAAAGCTGGGCTCGTGTCCGGGGCTGTGCGCCGCGAAGAACAGGACTGGGATGGCTGGAAGGAGACCCTCGGCATACCGGGTACGCGAGAAGATCAAAACCAGCGGGATGAGAGGCAGGCCGAGGTTCATTCCCGGGTTCCACGGACCATCGACGCTGTCCTCGAGGATCTGCTTTGCCTCCTCCGTGCCAAAAACGAGATACATGGAGTAAATGCCATGCGCACAGCATCCAGCCCACATTGTCCCTGCAACCGTGAATACCATCCCAGGAAGAACAAGTCGGCCAGCGATCCTCTCCATGAGGCGCAAAGCATCGACCACGTAGCTCCTGGGGCGGGTCACCACGATCTCTGATTTGCATTGCGGACATGACATCTTTGCGCCGCTCCCCGTGCGCTTGCGCGATGTAGGGTTTTCCATATCGGCGAGCCAGTCCAGTAAGCATGCCTCGTGAGCCGTCAGGGCGCACGGGCAGGGTGATCGCCACTCGGAGTTGAGTGGTGAATCTTCCGTCTCATCTGTGTAGCAAATCCAGCACTTGCGAGGTTCATCTTGGGTATCGGTGGGTCCAGGGCTGCTTGTAGATTTGGCGACTGCTTGTTCGGTGGAGACCGGCGCTTTCGTCTCCGGGGAGCCGGTGGTGGCAGCAGTTCGGTCCAAAATGATGGTCTCGGTATCTTCATCCTCGGTGGACTCGACCGGGTCTTGCGCGCTCACGATGTGCTGCTCCGATGCGGGACTGGAATGTGCGATTTCATCTGCAGAGGTCCTCCGCCCCGTAGTGGGCACGCTGGGTAAAGAAGTCATAAGGAGCAGGTGAGGAGTTGTCTGATCCCGGGGGGGAAGATGCGAATAGTAAGTCTCGGTCGACTCGGACGGCAAAGTCCTGGTGTTGGAATTCTGAGTGATCCTCTTCTCGCTTGCTGTCCCCAGTGTGATATGCTAATGGGACTTCAATAAGAATGCATAGAAGGGGGGAAGGGTGGAGACTCGCGCTGGAAGAAAGAGTACAAGTCCGTCTCGAAATGACGGGGTCTCCAGCGCAGATGGCTGTGTCGGCTGTGGCCCGCGGCTGTCATTGTTGATCACGTGTGCCACCGATACGTCATTTTGCCCGCGAGCGACCGTTCCAGATGTGGATCCATTCTTAGTTTACGTTGGTCAAGATCTACCTGGAGGATTGTACACAACTGCATAGCACTGAGCCAAGCCACTCCAGGTGACTGGATTTAGTAGTTCAATTGTTACTTAGGTGAAAGAACATCTTTTCCTGGTGAAGACGAGTATTCAAAGTGAAACAAGTGTAGTCTTCTACTTTTCTGCCGGTCATTTCTCGGTCAGGTTGAAGGCGCCTAATCATTTACAACCGACATTGAACCATCATTGAACCATCATGGATCTAGTCAAACACTGAATCCTTTTTTTTACCCGCACTCTGGATGAACCCCTGTGGCGATCCGAAATGAGTTGCGTCCATATGATGGACCTTGGTGGAATCTTACCTTCATTGGAAGTTGAACACCCCTCACATGTTGGTTCCATCCGTCGCATTAGCCGTGTGCCGTTCCAGTATATATCTGGCACCGCCATGTAGCCGTGATGTAAATGATACCTACCTTGTGTCCACATTCAGGTAGTACCCATCTCGAATCAGGACGAAAGCACATCGAGTTACGCTTCCCGCCGAATTTAATTAGGTGTTCGTAGCCAGCGCGGCGGAGTTACCTCGGTAGACACCTCGAATAACTTAGCTTGCTTACTTGCATTCTAGACCCTGTCAGAAGCCTGGGTGAAACGTGGATGCTAGGTAGGCCACACGACATCTATACACCTCTCGTGCAGCCTCCCAGCAATCATCTGCGTGTATCGGGATATCGAAGACTTTAGAACAACAAAAGATATCCCTCCAAACAAGCAAGACTGGAGAAATGCAAAAACAAATGAAATCATGACAAGAGTGGGATTCGAACCCACGCCCCTTTCGAGACACGGAAGTTTGGACCAGGTGAACCTGAACCGTGCGCCATAGACCAACTCGGCCATCTTGCCTTATTTGATGAAATAAAGGTCAGTCTCTGAGTGCATGAACGTTTTTAATCTCAGGGCTGAATATTCAACTTAGTACAGCTAGTCTGCCTACTGCCACCCTATTCATTCGTTACATGTGTCACGTAAGAATCACTCGGTGATACTATAAGTGTACAAATTCTAGCATTCCTCACGACTGAAATAAGACAAGAGTGATGAAGGATTGACTGTTCTATCAAGAACCGCGGTAGGTTGAATAATTCCAAGGACCCAACAGCACCGGCACATGGTAATGGCGCCAACCTTCCTCGCCCTCTCGGCCTCGCCCCTTGACCGTAAACTTGACCTCGACCTCAGGCCAAAAGCTCTCCACTCCCTGTGCCTCATACCAGGGGCCCACCTCGAAGCGCACTGCCCAATTGGTCTTGCTGTCCGCCGCAGGGAGCGCGGCCAGCACCTCTGCAACCGAGGACGCAGTGCTGGCCGTGGCCTCGGTCGGCGTCCACTTGGCGACACGCCCGTCGGCGTTGGTGGAGGCGTGGAAGGTGAGCGGGCTGGCGGTGCGGGCGGATGAGTCGGACGCCGTGAGCAGCGTCAAGGTGACGGGGAGATTGGCTGCCGGAGTGCCCGTGAGGGTGTTCAGACAGTGGCAGGTAATGGGATCGCGCGACATGGTGGATGGTGGTTGCGGGTGGGCGACGGGGCAATGAGAGGTTGCGGTGGATGATGGGTGGGAGGATGCAAGCTGGTGCTGGACGAGGGCGAGGCGGTTGGAGATGCGGCCTTGGATAGGGTTGCGCGAGTCCATGAAATGAAGGATCAATGGTCGCCGAGGATATCACTGGAGACCAAGGAAAGAGGGAGAGAGGGAGAGAGGGAGAGGGGGGAAATGACAGAGGGAGATTGACAGAATAAAAATATGAGAAGGAAAGAGAGACAGATCAAAGAATGGAATTCAATTGATCAATCGCGCTGCTATCGGCGATACTCTCTCTTGGTTTCCTCGAGGATCATCGGAGAGCACCGACGGCCTTGCGGAGGATTCCACATGGCGGGGCATATGCGGGCAAAGCATTTGAGACGGAGAGATGGGAGGTCATTGGGAGAGAATAGCAAGAACGAGGACTACATTGAAGGAATTAGTCAAATCTCAAAAGCTCACATGGATCTGAGTATACAATTGCAATGGCATCCTCGCTTTTGGGAGGACCGCCATTTGGACTTGTATCCCGATGAACGATCACAGGTAACTATACTACTATAAGTGTACCCACGTCAAGACGATCGAGTAAATAACACTCGTGCTCGTTCATGCGACCGCGGCTAACTGGTGTGTTCCAGGTCTGCATGCGAGTATGCACTATGCAGCACCATCAAACTGGCCATGAGCTGCAAACTACGACGTTGACCACTCCAGGAAGTTGAGAATCTGATCCAAAACCACACGATTTCCTACATTCGAAAATCCAAAGATATCATACGCTAAACAATGATCGGTTATTGTTTTCTTTTTTTCAAGTCAACTGCTTGCGCTTGCAGAGCTCGCCATATTGAACGGCCATCGAACTACTGCGTTTCTCTCCCAAGCGCCCGCTTGAGCGGCGGCGGGGCCAGTTGATTTGGACTGTGCCAACGTTCTTTTTTCCCCGCGATAGCACCGGCATCGTTCTCGATTTCCATCGCCGCTTGTCATTCTCGTCCTCTCTCCTCCCTCCTCTCCTCCTTTCCCCCTCTCGTGCCGCTATAGCATCCCCGCGCGTCGACATTCCCCATTTCAAAATGTCCTCTGCCGTGGTACACAACGATGATCTCGACATGGAGCCCACCCTCCAGTCGATCCTCAACCAGAAGACCCTCCGCTGGATCTTCGTCGGTGGAAAAGGTGGTGTCGGCAAGACCACCACCTCCTGCTCCCTCGCCATCCAGCTGGCCAAGGTTCGCAAATCAGTGCTGCTCATCTCCACTGATCCCGCGCACAACTTGAGTGATGCCTTTGGCCAAAAGTTTGGAAAGGAGGCCCGCCTCGTCGATGGGTATACCAACCTGAGCGCCATGGAGATCGACCCCAACGGCAGTATTCAGGATCTTCTAGCCAACGGCGATGGCCAGGGTGAAGACCCTTTGGCTGGGTTGGGTATGGGCAACATGATGCAAGACTTGGCCTTTAGCGTAAGAGACAATGATCAACCGCCCCTCTCTTCCCCCCTTTCATCATGGCCGCACTTGCGATGCGCCACTAGAAGACAGGAACAACGATCGCTGACATGTGCGTTTTTTTTGGACGTGATAGATTCCCGGTGTGGATGAGGCCATGTCCTTTGCCGAAGTCCTCAAGCAGGTCAAGTCGCTTTCCTACGAGACCATTGTATTCGACACCGCTCCGACCGGCCACACTTTGCGTTTCCTACAGTTCCCCACCGTCCTCGAGAAGGCACTTGCCAAGCTCTCTCAGCTGTCGTCTCAGTTCGGCCCCATGCTCAACTCCATCCTCGGCGCCCGTGGTGGCCTACCCGGCGGTCAAAATATGGACGAGCTATTGCAGAAGATGGAATCGTTGCGTGAGACGATCAGTGAAGTCAACTCTCAATTCAAGGATCCTGACATGACCACCTTTGTCTGTGTCTGCATCGCCGAGTTCCTGTCCCTGTATGAGACGGAACGTATGATCCAGGAGCTCACCAGCTACGGCATCGATACTCACTCGATCGTGGTCAACCAGTTGCTGTTCCCCAAGGACGGGAGCAACTGCGACCAGTGCAACGCCCGGAGAAAGATGCAGAAGAAGTATCTGGAGCAGATTGAGGAGCTCTACGAGGACTTTAACGTCGTTCGCATGCCTCTTTTGACGGAAGAAGTCCGTGGGAAGGAGAAGCTTGAAAAGTAGGTGACCTACCGTACTTTGCCCTTCCAGCCCCCCCCCCTTTGCCTTGAAACAGTGTTCAAATCAAGGTAACGAGTTGACCACGAACATGCTAATTAACGTCTCTTTCTCCTCTCAGATTCAGCGACATGTTGGTACACCCTTATGTGCCCCCGCAGTAAAGGTCACATAGCAAGAATAGGGCGTGAAACTGTAAAGGTATTGGAACATCTTCCTCGAACGAATTATGAAGCGATTAGAGCAATTTTATTTCAAGCCACGTTTGCTGCTTCGCCGCGCCCCGAACCGATGCCGAGTATAATTGCATCTCAGGCGTAACTGTCACATGCAAGCATACTGAATACTAGGCAGTAGAACTAGACAGTAGACACTGGGCAGGTTTCACTGTCTACAGTCGGCGAAAACCGAGCATACATACATAGCTGGGTCGAGATCCCGTCAAGCATGACGAGTGACAGTGATACGGTCCCTCGCACCGGGTTCGGGGTACTATTTACCCTTTCGCAGTAAGGAAATTATGAAAGTTGGGCCCGAGTAATCTATAACGAAGTCTATTTCTGAGCTGCTCCTGTTTCGCGTTCCCAACCCAAGTGTACAGAGAATTGTTCGTTTCTCATTGTCTAGTCTAAAGATGACAGTCCTAAGGTGCCTGTTCCGAATTACAATCTCTTGGTCCTTTTTTTTCTTTTTTTCTTGCTTTTTTTGGCAGATACTCAAAACTCAACCTCATGACTGATAATGAGCCCATTCCGGCTGGAGCACGGGTGGCTTTCTCGGCGCAGTGGATGCCTCCCATGCACTTTGCAATTGAATCAGTAGAGCATCTTGATGCGGTCCCGCGATAGCTGCCAGTCCATGAGGCCGTCCATTGAAGTCGAGATAGCCCAGTGGAAGTGTAGCAATCGGGTATCCTACATTATCATAGACGTGAGCTTCGTCGTTTTCCAAGCTCACGGATGAGATTCCCAAGAGGAAGACGGAGGTGGGATCATACCTGTCGCCGACGCAAATCCCGTCAGGCCACTCTCGGCTGGGCCGACGATGACATTGACATTGAACTCTTCGAAGATCTTGTCGATTCCGCGAGTTCGGCCAACGTCACGGACGTGGTGAATGAGAGAGTCTACTTCATTCTTGCTGAGATTCATCTTCACGGCGTCTTCAATGAGGTCCTGTTTTGGGTTCTCTGAAGTGACCACGTCTCTCGGGTTAGCGGTTGCAAAATGTCATTGATGATGGTGATGTTGCAAGATTTGATCCCGTGGAGACATGACTTACTGGGCGGTAATTCGACATCTGCGTGAGCCCTGTTGTACTCGATCAGGTCCTCAAGTGTTGAGATAGAGCTGTCGGTGACTGTGGACATGTACTCTGCGAATTCTGAAGGGATGAAGTGGCCTGTACTGGCGAATTAGCAAATGAAGTCAAGCATCGAAACCGGCGCAAAGATAGGGAGGTACTTACTCAGAAGGGTGAAAATAGCGTTTTTGCCCCCGACATTGAAAGCATCCTCTGTAATAAGAGGCACATGGTGATGGTAGCTTTCAGCTAAACCCTGAAGCTTCTCGTATGCAAGTCGTGTTTCTTCTAGCTGTCGGAAGCAGTCAGTGACATGACCCTGTCCAGATGATGCTCTACAGAGAGAAGCCCACCATTTGCTCTTCCGCGCCGGGCTGTGGTTTGCGAGCATCTGCCTCGTATCCCCAGACTTCTGGGTCGACAGTTCCAATTCGCAACCCGTTCCATTGCCCTGTCACAGCAGAGACGTAGCCACCCTTGGGGATCTGAGTGAGCTCTGGGTTCACCAGAACATCCATGAGCAAAGCAACGTCGCGGGCGTTCTTGGTCATTGGACCAACCGAGTCGAACAGCTTTGCAATTGGTATGACCCCGGCCTGAGGTACAATGGACATGGTCGGTTTCAAGGTGTACAGTGCTGCTCTGTTAGATGGTGAAATGAGAGAGCCTTCGGTTTCGCTGCCCAAGGAGAAGGGAGCAAATCCAGCGGCAACGGCCACTGCAGACCCCGAGGATGACCCGGATGTATTCTAAATTGACTCGGTCAGCAATGGGTTCTGCTGATGTACCCTGGGTCATTGCGCATGTTCCAAACTCACGCTGTGTCCGACGAAGGAGTCAT